CTCCAGGTTGTCCAAAACACTGAGCACAGAAAGTAGTAGTTAAAAATAAGTGGAAGATTTTGCTTTCACACTAAGAAGTGTTTAAAACTGAAAATGAACTGAAACCCCCTGAAATTAAATCACAGTTTCTCTGTGTGTAAAAATTTCACTACAAACTTTTGGTACCTTTGCAGAAAGCACAGTCGGCTCCTACCTGGCTTTATGTGCAATATTATTTGCTCATGGGAAATTCTGCCTCGTGTAGTATAGGAGTTGGAAAAAATGATGGAACAGTTATTAAAAAATTTAAAGGAAACCCTCTTCACGTGTGACACATACGGATCTGTGCCCAAGGGTGAGCAGATAGTGCGAATTAATCTCAGACTCTGGAGCTGTTTCCGGTATTTCCTGCTGGATACATTGAAATGTTTAAAAACGTATAAAAATCCTGATACTTTTTTGCATGCTTTTGTGTAACAACAAATATTATTCAGCTCCCAGGCTGGGGAAGCCACAGGAGCTGGTATACATCGAGGGGTCTGTCCTGGGGATACCTGGCATGACTCTGCTCTCTTGGATGCCGCTGCCATTAAGCACCCGATGGGGTGCTGGGATGAGATCGGATCTGGGCTCAGTGATGCTAGTGGGAATTCTGTGTTGCCTAGAAGTATCCCTGTACTCTGCAACCTGGGGATAGTTTGCGAGACTGAGAATCTCTGAAAACTAAGGATTTTTTTTCACCAAGAGAGAGGGTTGTGCTGACCACTTGTTATTGTGTATTTTATAATCCCTCCCTGGCCAAAACGTTCCTTGAGCTGAAACTGGAAAGTGATTGCCTGTGACCATGGGGCTGGACCCTGTCTATCTCTTTATTTTCTAAAAAGTATTTGTGAATGTGTTTTCTGATTGTCTGGTGCTTTCTTTCTCTTCGAAACTTCATCACACAGATCACTTTTCAAACAAATCATCACACAGAACTGACTTCTTCGTTTAAGAGCTTGTGTTCAGCTTTGGTTTCATGAAACCTTTTCTGGCTGGACTCTGCTATGTAAGAAAGGTTTTTCTCCCTTTGCCAAAAGCTGTTCTTCAACCTTTTGTTTTTACATAGACCTGTTTGGAAGTGGTTTTGTGCCGTGATGGTCTCAGTCCAGCTCCCAGCTGACAAATTTGACCAAAGTCACAACACCCCAATTGGCGCTAAGGGGTTTATTTAGCAGAAAGAGTAGGAAGGCCAGCATTTAAATGGGCAGAGAGGCTGACATGGCACTGACCCTTCCAGGTGATCCCTCTAGCTCAGGGCTCAGGTAGCAGGAGCCCAGCCAGGCAGTGTGGAAGTATTTGCAGTGCTTCTGTCCATGCTGCATCTGCTCTGAGCACTTGAGCTTCCCTGGCTGTTAATCCAGTACTTTTCATGAGCATTAGTTGCAGTTAAAAAGAATTAAACAAATATTTACCTAATATCAGATCACGACCAGTTTATAAATATGCATTTCTTTTAATCCATGATTGCTCAGCTTCTGTAATAATATTTATAGCCTTAAAAGAGACCCTTCTTTTTCCAGAAGAACCGACTCCACATAAAACCAACAGCCCACCCTCTGGAGTTACATACGCTCATGATGTCTTGGACTGTGGCCTCAAGCCATGCCCCCTGCCTTTTTCTAGCCTTTCTGCAGATCCCATGGGCAGATATGGACAGCCAGATAGCATAGGGACAACACCTACGCACCCTGCCAACGCTGCAGGGGCCTCTGCTCCAAGCCCTAGGATTGAAATTACTCCATATCATGAACTGATTCATTCAGGGGGTCCCTTCCGCAGCAGAGACACAGATGTTCTTTTGGTAGAACATCAGTCAAACTCAGCTACCACTAGCCCGAGGGTTACCCTGCCCGTCCCTGGCTTTGAGGGCTACAGAGAACCACTGTGTTTGAGCCCAGCTAGTAGCGGCTCCTCTGCAAGTTTCATTTCAGAGACAAATGTATCTCCTTGCACATCACCATGTGTTTCACCAAATAATGGTCCTAGTGATGACCTTTGTCCACAGTTTCAAAACATCCATACTCATTATTCTCCTAGAACCTCTCCAATAATGTCACCACGAACAAGCATCACGGAGGAAACCTGCTTGGGACGACATTCACCGTCACCCTGTCCCAACTCAAGGTCTTCATCACCAGGTGCAAAACGGAGGTACTCTTGCACTGAGCTCTACAGTACTCAGCTGCCTTCCACTTCTCCACGACAGTCAAGGACCCCCTCTCCACAATCCTCTCCTCGCATCCCCTTGAGAGAAGACAACTCTTCAGTTACTTACACACAGTTGCCCAGCGCTTCTCTTTCCATGGATGCTATGAACAGCCTTCCTACGGATCCTTCCTGTGGTGTTCCCACGAAAATTTGGAAAACCAGCCCTGATCCTTCGTCAATGCCTTCCCACAAAAACAGCATTCCGTGCCACGTCTTTCAGACTGTTGACTTCCACGGGCCTTGCGAGCAGGAGGACAGGAGAAACTCAGCCCCAGAATCAATTTTGTTGGTACCTCCATCCTGGACAAAGCAGCTGGTGCCTGCAATACCTATCTGCAGGTATGTAATGCTTCTTGTGGTTGTGTGTTTTCTCATGGCACGGTGTCCTCTGTCATGCATAATGATCCCTAGGGAGCGTTTCCTTGGGCGGATTCTGCTGTAGACCAGAGCTTAGTGCTCAGGGACAGCACTGGTTAACAGAAGCCCAATCTGAGAGATGAAACAAATCTGTGTTTGGAAGAAACATCATCAAAGTGGTGCATGGATAGCGCAGCATATGACAAATTCTGATTTTCAAATTATTTGTCTAAAAAGCAGATTGCGAACAGCCTTTGACAAAGGCTAAACACTCTTGTTCCATCCTGCAGCTTTTAAAGAAAATGATTTGATTGCTTTTCTAAATTCAGAGAATGTCTTGCTTACAAATTTCCACCAAGGATGAAAATACTTTAAATATGTCCTGAGTCAACATCGAGCATGCTGCTCCAAGTCAGACTGAGCATTTGGTCAACCCCAAGTGAATTATTGTTGGTTGTTAATTTGTTAATTGTCATTTAACCCAAGTCTCAACTGTTGGCGCTACCCTCATCAACTTGCTCCATTGTCTGGCAGCACACAGGTCTGGACCCTGAGCGGTGGCACATCTGCCAGGACAGAGGTTGCCAAATGTGTGACTCCACTTGCAGTCACCACTGGCACCCTGTCAGCCCTGCCATCCCGCTCGGCAACAAGGTTGTCCCTACGCTGGTGTTTATCCTGTGCTGCTCCTAACCTGCTAAACACAAATTGTGAGTGAAAGAACACACACAGGCTGTGACTTTCCTTGGCTTGTTAGGTTAGTCCTGGCAGCAGTTTGTACTGACAAAATAAGAGTTGTTTAAAATCCAGTGCAAGCCTAGTTTTACATTTCAATGTGTTAATTTCATGTTATAAACCCTTGTGTATTTTGATAACAGGAAAACTAGTACCAGGTAAGACTTTTTAGCATTTTATTTGTGTGCATTTTAATATTTATGGAAATCATGAATTTTACTAATTTATGCAACTGGGAAGTAATGGTAAATGGAATTAATATTTCACAATCTATGTTCTGTGATCAAAGTTTAAGATGCACAGCAGAAGCTAGATAAAAGAAGGGGATCTTTGAAAAAATATAGCTGCTACAGATATTTCTGTTTAGGAAATAGAAATATTCTGTTCTGTTCTGCAAGGAGGTCGGCCCAGAGAAATTATTGTGTTCATCTTGAAGTTCAGCAGAGTTTGTAATCAAATGTGAGCAGGACAGCATATTCATACTGAAATTAATAGCAGACTCCAAAACGTTTCAGCGAGAGCAGCCCCAGTGGGGCAGCTGGAGGAAAGAGGGATCAGGGCTTTGAGAAAGAAAGTATTAAGGAGTTTCAGCTGGTGTGGTCTCTTTCTGCCCAGTTTGCCCGTCCAGTCGCTCCCGCCCCTCGAGTGGCCAAGCCAGTCTGGCTCCTACGAGCTGCGGATCGAGGTGCAGCCGAAGCCCCACCACCGGGCACACTACGAGACGGAAGGAAGCCGAGGGGCTGTCAAGGCACCGACTGGAGGCCACCCTGTCGTCCAGGTAAGGGACTGGAGAACAACTCTGAGGGTGAAAAGTGGAGGGTGAGTTCATTTCTGAAAGTCTTACTGGCTCTGAAAGAGGAGGACCATGTGAACCTGGGTGTGCCTGTAGATGTGCATAAAGTGTCTGAAGTTGAACTGTGGTGAAGTCCTAGACGTTTGGAAAGGTGGTTTGGATTAGCTTGTGAAAGCTCAGAAACAGGGAAAATATTTGCCACCTTTTCAGGGCTATATGTTAAACCTCCTGTGGCCCAGCTTTGTCATAACGTGCCCAGCTGTCCTGAATTCCAGCTGAGCCCATTTTGTCTTGACAACAGTCTCTTCTGTATAAATTAGGGCTTTTTATGATGTTCAAAATGTACAAACATCAAGCCTAGCTTTCAAACTCCGTGTAGCTGAGTGATCTACCAAAACCGTATTTAAAATAACTAGCAGATCACGTTAGATCTGCAGCACCATGGCCTCCTGCTGGTGGTGAATGAGGGTTTTGGAGCCGTGCTCCCCAGGTTCTCACAGAGCAAGTCCATGCGGCAGAGTTGCTGCCTGTGTTTCTGACTGTACCTAACCTCTGCTCCTCTCTGGTCTGTACAGCCAAGTATGAGACTCATACACATTCTCTTGAAGTTTAAAGAAAGCCAAGGCAACCTTCATTAACCTTGATGGGAATTGGATTAGGAAGATATGGATGTTAAACTGGAGTTTCTCCAGAGTTAACAGCTGCCATTTGCTAGAAATGTCTTTCCCGCATTTGCTTTTTCCTTAGCAATTTTACTCCCCCCCGCCCCGCCCCCCGTCCTCTGGTTACGTGGTAGAACTTCTAATTTTAAGCCTGTTTAAATTTAGGTCAGAGAATTTCACCCGTGTGTAATTCATCACTTGGTACATCCATTTCAATCTAGTGCCTGGTTTATATGTAACTTGCTGACGCCGTGTCCTACCTTGCATGCAGTTCCGCTTGTCGTCTGCAGTAATGCTGCCTTCGTTTTGTCCTGGATATACGCCACCAAGGGGAAATCTGTACTACCTGTAGTAACTGTGTGATAAGGAGACAGCAGGGCAAGATAATTACATAGCAGTGGGGATGATTTTGAGAAAAACTTCGGCCTCTATAAAGCTGTAAATATAGAGAAGACATGTTTTTCAGCTTTGTAATCGTAGAGAGAAAGGGTGAATGACATTAGGCAGGAGCTCCCTTGTGATCTGGGCTGATGTCATTACAGAAACAAAATTTTATATCTCTTTTGAGGTATCATTTATATTGCCTGAAAGAGTCCAGATCTGGTTCTAGCTATGCTTGTGAGAAGGGAAGTCACCGCTGCTGAAACCAGTGAACGAAATCCAAGCTGACGGTGATGGAGGTAACAACCTTTGCTGACGTGAGAGGTGGATGAGCTCAACCCTTATTCTGTTATGGAGGGTGAAGGGCTTTTCCTTCACCTTTCAAAGTCGAATCTAAAATAGTGGCCAGTGCCATTCAGTAAGGAAAGCTAGGCTTTTGGTCAGGGTTGAAGGGTGTCAGGGCGATATTGCTGGTAATGATGTATGGCAACTGTACCCGTCAGCCACAGCTACAGCTTTCACTAAGCAAAGTTGGGGTGCATCCTACAGATGTTTCTTTCACGCTCAGGACTTGCTATGGCAAGCCTGAACCAGGGAAATGTTGAAGTTTATGCTTGATTTTAAGCATGTGATCAATACCACTAATTTCACTGGGTTGATTTGTGCTTAACTTCAAACACATGTTAGATATTCCCCTGCAGGCTCACCGCCTTTTAAAATCAAGCCATAAATTGTTAAATCAATGAATTTGTTTACTTTGTTTGAGCTGGACTTACATGTACGGACTGGATATTTGAGTAAAGGGTGCAGGATAACAATAAATAGCAATCACATTTGACATACCTTAATATATGCAATCTTTTTAGTTTATGAATCTGACAAACTCATAGGCCGCTGTGGTATGTTTGAAGGTACACGGATGTATGGACTGTATGGCAAATCAGCACTTGCTCTTTTCTCAGTTTGCTTACAAATATAGTATCATTTACCTTCACAAGATATTCCTATCAGCTGGATGTTTATTGCAATGAAGGGGTTTCTCATGACATGGGGAAATATAAGTGCTTTGTTTCCTTCCTGTAATCAATATCAATCAAAGAGGGACTTGTATTTTCTGTTGGAGACAGGAATTGATATTCCTAGTTTTGTCATAATTTGCCATCAAGCTTAAGGATCTTAAACTCTAAATTCAAAGATCCATGTTAGTTTCCCGAGCAGATGTGCCTCTGCACAGCTGTGCCTGCATATGGGGAAAATATGGACAGTTTCTTTGAAAAGCTGGAAGTATTAGTTGGATTTGTGTTCACTTTACATAACAAGGTTCGTATGAGTGCCGAGCAATGAGATAGTTGCACCTGTATGGTTTATGACATCTGAAACTCGAGAAGGCTAGTAAAATCCAAAGCTTTCATGTCATAAGTTATTTGGCTTCAAGTTTTCTTTTTTTTTTCTTTTTGTTTCCCCTCAGTGAATTTTAATTTTTGTGTTCTTGTCAGATGCAAAAAGTACAGAAACAGAGAAAATGAAACAGGAGAGATTTTTTAAAAGGTAGGCGCTGTGTTGAGGAAAGTTTGCATGAGTCAAAGGCAACTGGTTGCAAGGAAGTGAAATTAAATTGTTTTCAACAGGTTCTGTCTGTGAAAAAAAACAGGAATGGCAGTGTTGACCCCAGAGTGACAGGGCTGGAGGTCTCCTGCAGGCTGCAGACTTAGTGCTGGGGACCCACAGCACCTCTCAAATGACGGACATGAACACACCACCCTTGGGATTTTCCTGGAGCACTAGGACCTCTCTGTAGCACCTTTCTTGAATCCAGCACTGTCTCTTAGACATTTGGACTTAAATACTGAGAAGCCAAGCCTGCCCTGAGTGGGAGACGCCTACCAAAGCGGTGGGATTTATACTAGGGCTGAATGTCCCATTCATGTCCCATACATTTTAAGACCACTTTTGATATACTGCTTTTCCACTATTTTGATTACCTTTTCTAAAATACAATCTCTTTTTAAAAAAACCTGATTTAAAAAAAATTCCCATTAATTTAACCCTCCACCTGCCTAATTACCAGCTGAACCTTCTGGAGGAAGAGATGTTAACTAGTTGTTGCAGCACGGTGTTGGCCTGCAATATTTATTTTTTGAAAACTGCGTTTTGCATGCAAGTTTCTTCTTTTGGGTGCTCTGAAGCTACAGACCAGCAGATCTCATATCCTTCAGACCTTATCTTGTGGTTTATCTTTCTGATGCTGCTTCCTCTTCTTCACGTGTCTAGCCCCGAGAGTTTGTGCATAAGAGTTTGCACCAACTGTGCACTCCAAGCATGGCAGGAGAAGAGCCTGGTTAATCAAAACCTCTGGTTAGATGGGCCACACGGAAGAGGGCATTTACTTTCTTTGCCTGGGGGAGGAAGAGAGAAGCCATGCATGCCATGTAATGTTCCCACTGTCTAACTTTAGGGACCATCTAGAATCACATGGAGCAGCGTAGGCTCCCAGTTTAGGTGTTCTGAGTCACTCTTGGGAGGAATCTACAGCTTGCTGCTAACTATAGAGAAACTCGGGCTTCTATTTTAGGGATGTAAGTTGAATGCCAGTGTGAGTATCCCCTAGATGCTAAGTCACTGAGAACAGCAAGCAAATCTGTGTAGCAAGGACAAAGCTGAAGTTTGTATGCACCTACCATCTTGCAGATCAACCTGGTCACTGAGACTGCAAAGGAGGGCTGGGCATGATTGGTTTCCAACTCTTTTTCGCCAATGTTGAGGGACAGCTGCTTATTTGTACCCAGCTGCTGCAGTCAAGGCTCTGGAAGAGACTGTCCATTAGGAAAGGCAGTGACTGCTCCTCTGTGAAGCACTTGTGGATGTGATTGGGATAGAGGTGGCAATCCAAACACAAGCCTAGCTCTGTCCAAGTTCACCCTGCGGCAGCAAGCCCTGTCCAGAGGGATAAAAATCTCCATCTTTGCATGCTTTTAGGCAAACATCTGCTAGCAAGGACATAGATATATTTGAATTCTGCTTGAGACAGGAGAGATGAACTAGATGATTCCTTGAGATCTGTCCCAGCATTATTTTCCATAATCCTTCTAGGAGCTCTCACCTCTTAAAGGAAAGTAAAGTTTTTGTGTTGTTGGCATTACTCACTATCCTGTTGTCCAGCAGAAACAGGGCATGTGGTAGCACTTGAGTAACACTGGATGCTGAAGTAGGTGTCTTTCACCTGCTGCTCACAGGAAAATGTGGTGATAAACTCTGCTTCAGGGAGAGATAGATTTTCTATTCTTCAGCAAAAGTTCTTCTGTCTTTGAACTGTTTAAGATAGTGATGAGAAGGAAAGACCTTTTCAGTAGCAAAGGTTGGGTCTGGATGAGCTTCACCCCATGGTCAAGCAGACTCCATGTCCCTTAAAAGCCATAAAAATATTATTTTGAAGATATTGATTAAACTTAGTGGTTCTGGTCTTGTCCTACTGCTTTGCATGAAGTTCTTGGGTTTTTTCAAGATAGAAATGATATTTCATGCGATTGTGTGGTATTTCAGGGAGTTCTAAGCAGAACTCTTATCCTTCCCTCAAGGCAAGTGGAAGGGAAAAGAGAAGATGACTGTCGAACACTGGACAGCTGATAGCTGATCTGTACTTTTGTAATTAGAAGTGGTTGCCTTTACATATGGGTATAAATGAGACAAACCCATTTCACATCATAATCTTCCCATATTCTGAAGTCCTCTTGGGTCCTTGGAGATGATCAACATGAGATAAATGTGTGATTTGCTGCATTCACCTCATAATAATTGAGAGCAGTGACAAAGGGCATTGATTTCAGTTGTGCATCTGCCATGGACTCTAGAGAGGCTAAGGTATACTATTTTGTTAAAAATCTGTTTGTGAGAACTCAGCTAAGTCTTGGGGTCAAAGAGTAGATATGTGCTTTTTTTACTTTT